AAATATAACTCTTATATGAAAGTCCAAACTTAAAACCAATGCATCTCATGTAAGATGTCTTAGTACTTTCCTCGTCTCAATCAATAAATGGATCCCATGAAAGAACTAAATCTATAGAAAAAAAACTCTCTATCCTGCTGGGTCTATATATCACACTTGAATATATTAGAAAAGCACATATGTACTATTCTTTCCACATTTCTTTAATGAAAACTGAATGAATACAAAAGGGTACCTTTCTTGTTTTAACATCCTCTATATAAAATTATTTTCTTTAAGCAGTTCTTGAAATTTAAAATTCACTATTTGTTGAGAACTTTGTAAAAAGATTTATAGAATCATTGTTTCTTTTAATCAGGAGGCTTTTCCTGCAGATTAAATAACATCCTTTTTATTCCCTGGTGTTCTCAGTTTTTGAGCTATTTACTGGGGACTATGTCATGGTATCTGTGCAGAGATTGTTCCTCTTTAATCTCAAAATTGACATTTCGTTCTGTAGGAGCATGATATAGAGACAGCTTATGGAGTTGTCCATGTCACTATGCGGGGCACTTCAAAAGGCAATCGACCCGTCATCCTAACGTATCATGATATTGGCCTCAACCGTGAGTCCTTTTTTTCATGGTATTTTCATATGTTGGCTCACTGACTGTTGTATTCATATGTTCAGAATAGAAGTGTTTGATGCAGAAGCAGTTCTTTTAATTTACCATAACTAGAAAACAAACATGAACATTGCCAGTCTTAACTTGTATTTATCAAAGTAAAAATCAGGAACTGAAGTGGTGCTCTAATGGTCATTTTGTGGGTTTTGTCTCACAGATAAGTCCTGCTTCAATACTTTCTTCAATTTTGAAGACATGCAGGAAATCACACAACACTTTGCTGTCTGCCATGTTGATGCACCTGGACAACAAGAGGGGGCTCCTCCTTTCCCTTCTGGGTAAGTGTAGTAATATTATTTTGATCCACAATGTTTAAAATTGAAACAGATAGGGGAACAGATTTCCAATATTGACTTTAATCTATGCAAAGAGAAACAGCACTGGTTTGGGAGGTATAGAAATACAAATAAGAATGATGCTGTGGGTAAATGTATGTAGATACGTTACTGGTGAGACAAGTCTTTTGGGAGACCCTTAGGCCTCTGACTTTAAAGCCTTTTTGATCATTACATACTCTAATTAATCTATTACTATGGAACTGTTGAAATCTCCTTGCAAATAGGCATATATTTGATGAGCTAGCCTTGGAATAAAGTCCTTTTACATCAACTTCATCTTTTCCGATTTCAGATATCAGTATCCTAGTACTGATGAACTTGCTGAAATGCTTCCTGCAGTTCTTATGCACCTGAGGCAAGTATACAGAGTAACTCTGACTTTCCTTTATTAACAATCACAGATGCTAAATAGCCTTTCTTTGATGTTTATCCAGAGGAAAAAGAACAGCTATTATCATATTTCAACAAAGCCAATGGTTGTAAAGTTTATTCAAATGTCTTTTGTAGAATCTTTTTGATTTCTTACCATAACTCTTACAAATGAGAATTGTATAAGTGCTATGATATTAAGGTTACATAAATGTGAGGGTTCCTGCTAATAGAAAGGATACTAAGGGATTCTCTTCATTTTCAACTTTTTTCAGCGTAAAAAGTGTAATTGGAATAGGAGTTGGAGCTGGTGCCTACATTCTCAGCAAGTTTGCGGTAAATAGCATTTGTTTGTGCTCATTTGTTTCAGCAAATTAAGTCTGTTTAGGCCTTAGATGTCCAGGTAGAATCCAAACATAGGGGTGATACATGTAGTAGTGAGCAGGAGGTGTTGCCAATAGTGGCAAAAACAGTCTCATTCTTTATAGAGGTATGAATGCCGTAAAAATTGAGTAAATTTGATGCAGTTAATTCAAGATTATAAAATTATAAAAAAAAAATAGTGTATTATCATCTCATAAACCAGAGTGCTTTTACTTTTGAAAACCACTATAAATTTGCCAGCATTTCCTTGTGTTCTGAGTTATATTCTCCAACATCATGGGCTTTTGATGGCCACCTTAAAATTATGTTTTATTCCTTTTTACTCATAATTTATAATTTGTTATTGGATTATTTTGTACAACTGAAGGTAGCATACATAATGCTCCCCACAATAAATGTGTTTATTTTCTATATGTATTTATTTGATATAGATATTTATTATAATAAAAGTAAACTAGAGTGCAGCACAAATAGTCAGAAAAGTAAAACTTTAATATTTTCCATTCTGTTTTTAGTTGAATCATCCAGACTTGGTAGAAGGCTTAGTGCTAATTAATATTGATCCATGTGCAAAAGGTTGGATAGATTGGGCAGCATCCAAGGTAGGATGGAACTCTCAGTTTTGTGACCAAGGTGATAATATTGTCCTATATGACTAGAAATTCAAAAAACACTGAATGAGTATTTGTTTTGGAATATCACTTTTTTTTCTTTTCTAAACCCAAAGGAAGATGAAAGAATACAGAAGTGGCTTTATTGATTTGACATACTGAAATGTATTTGAATACATTTTATGTAGCTGTATTATAGAGTTTCTCTCAGCGATAAATCTGGCCTTGGGTCAAACAGTGCATGATTTAGAGAGAATATCTGCATGTATTTCTAATACTAAAATTACACACGGAAGAAACGAGAATGTGAAAAAGCAGGACATGTTTATATAAAACTGAGGAATGCCAATATGTAATTTTGTTTTGTTTTATTTATTTTTTCAGTTTTCTGGATGGACAACTAACCTTGTGGATATTGTTTTAGCTCACCATTTTGGCCATGTAAGTTAATTACAAGTTTTAATATTGAAAATTCTAATATATATAAAATCAACCTCACATATATTAATGAATTATTCTTGTTCCTAGCACAGGAATTGTTTATAAGAATGGTTATGATTTCATAATTTTAACTTTCATTCCTAAGATAGGTGTGACAAAAGACTATGATAGATAGTAAGTATAATCTGGAATTGAAAACTTTTGCTGGTATGGAAGCTGGTTTTCACCTGCTTGAGGTCTGCAGTAGACGTTACCTTCTTAATTTTTACAAGATAGCTGAAGTGTGCTCACTTATTTATAGTACAGTTAACCAGACAAATAGTTATAATATTTGTCATTCCTCAGGAAGAACTGCAGGCTAATCTGGAGCTAATTCAAACATACAGACTTCACATTGCACAAGACATCAATCAGGAAAACCTTCAGCTCTTCGTTACCTCCTATAACAGGTAATGTGTCTATTTTGGATCTACGCTGAAAACTTTTATTTTCTCCACTTGAGTTTTGAAAATATAAATAATGCTTTAAGCAGCAGATAAAGCACATTGACAAATGTTTAACCTTGATTTCAACTGTAAAAGCTTGCATGATAGTTTAAAGGGGGGAGGGGGTCATTTTTTAATCTTCAATTTCCAGTTTTATTTCCATTATAGTCAGTAATGTAGATTTTTCCCCACAACAAAACCTCTTCTAATTATTTCTTCATATTTTTCTACTTTTTTGTTTAATAAAGAAGCATCACATGAGTATCCCTTTAGAAACAGAATGTTTAGGAAGGGTTCCTTTACCAAGCTAGACATGAGTTCCAGATCAGATGTAATGTGAGAGATCTATGATCTCTTCTTTCAATAGCTTCTCTTCATTTCAAAAATGTGTGTGTTATTTCTGATATTTTAACATATGTGGTCCAGTGGTTTTTAAGAACTAGCCTTAAAAAATTAGAAACTATTGGGACATCTCTGTATAGCCCACAGTATATATGTTATTTAACAAGCGTAATAAGCTTATATCAGTCCATATTATCAAAATTCTTCAAACATTCATAGTCATAGTATGGGATCCATTTAACTACCAGTACTGAAAAAAACTAATACTAAGATTAGATGGCTTTAGTAGTCATAATCTAATGATACAAGATTTCTGTCTTAGCCAATACTTCCCAGACTACAATCGTTTGCTTGCTTGCTTATTTATTATTTATAAAGCTTCTGTATCACTTCAATCACAATAGACTAAGCAGGTCTGTCTGTCTTTGCTTTCAAGTCGTAGAGATCTGGATATTGAAAGACCAATCTTGGGTATGAATGAAGAAGCAGCAAAAACACTCAAGTAAGATGCTTTTGGCTGTCTTTCAACCATATTGCTTGAAACTGGGTGGATTTATTTTTATTTTGTTTATATTTCCTTTGGTTGGAAAAATTACTTCCCTTCCCTCACTTTTATTGATGCTTTTGATAGACATAGCAAGCCAAATAATCTTGTATTCAACTTTTCTTTCCCATTTGTATTACATCAGAATACATGCCTTTTTTATATATACTATATGTTGGATATAAAATTACATATGTTACATACACATAGGTATGCACTACAGACACATACAAGATATTTAAAAACAGTTTGTGAGGGCTGAGATTTTAGTTTTCATAATCCTTCTGCTTCATGGTGTATTGCAGAGTTGATTTTTGCCCTGAAGAAATGTCTGTATGAATCCATCATGCCAAGTATGTTTCCCCAGCATGGCAGAGACTCTTATAACAGAAAGGTGGAGAACTGATTTGGAAGCAATAGAAACATTGAGCTCTCCAAGAACCTACTGAAGTGTATTATTTCTAGTCCCTTGAATATTCAGAAAAAGGGACCGAAAACAAAACAGACTCTTTGGGGAGTCATCAGTCCAAATTTAGAACTCAGACTAATGCTCAAAACACGATACCTAAGCAGGAAAGTAAATGGATCTGGTGGCAGCAGCGGTTTGAAGCTTGTTCTGTTTTCACACCAGTCGTCTGAGTAGGTTTTCCAATTTCAGCTGTGAGCCTATAAACAACTCCTAACGAGTGGGGCCCTTTCCTTTACTCCGACTAAGACTTTCCAGCACGAGGAACCTGCTCTTTTTTCTTCCAGGGAAATGAGCTGAATCCCAGCCAGGTAGTATAGAAGTGTGTGTGTGTGTGCGCGTGTGTGCGTGCGTGCATGCGTGCGTGGGAGTTTGTTTGCCTGATGAGATAATCCAGCAGGTGTTTTCTCCATAGACTTCCTCTTTGTTGTCTTCTGGTATCTTCCTCAGCATTTTTCCCAGCCCCCACACCTGCCTTTTATTCAGAGCAGCCTTTATGTTTAACATGCACCGAGGTGTCAGGCATTCAGACTGTGGTACAATGACTTACATATAGGGAGGCTCATGTTTTCCCTTCACTACACCCAATGCTGCTACCAAGTAACACACCCAACACAATCAAAACTCCCTGAAGCCATATTGGACCATCTTCAGGGCTGCCACTACCCTTCCAACTATTTATGTAAATAACATCTTGAGAGCTAGAATTGATGCTCTGATATATGTCAAAGTATTTCCGAACTTTATGGCCAATATATATTAGTTTATGTATTGTAAAAAAAAGGCTGAGCAAGACTGGGAAGACTTGTTTCATAAGGCTCTGTCCCCATTGAAATGAATGGCGTATGAACATATTTTGATGCCCTGTCAAGCTGCCGGCCTGTGGGCCAGATACATCACATGCAGGCCACGCCCACCCCAGCTCTGCAAAGGCAAAAAATGTGATACGTCACGATCTGGCCCGTGACGCAATCAACTTTGACACCCGTGCCCTATATGTTCTGGTTTAATGTTGTTTAATGAAACATGATCCAGATGTGAGCATGATCAATAGATTAAAAGGCGGGATTTTGACAAGAGAAGATGGTATTAATGCTAATCAGGTATATCTATGAGGAACATCACAGAATGGCAAATGATGAAAGCATTGCAGCACATCCCCCATTGCAGCACATACATTATTTTGTACATAATCATTTTGTGCACATATAAGGAATGGAATTTGCACTGTGATAGCAATAGCACTTAGACTTACATACTGCTTCATGGTGCTTTACAGCCCTCTAAGCAGTTTACAGAATCAGCATATTGCCCCCAACAATCTGAATCCTCATTTTACTAGCCTTGGAAAGATGGAAGGCTGAGTCAATCTAGTGAGATTCAAACGGCCAAATTGCAGGCAACCTGACACTCAGCAGAAGTAGCTTGCAGTACTGCATTCTAACCACTGCACCACCAAGGCTTATAGCACACAGTTCTGCTATCAACTGTGTATAGCACAGTTAATTCCAGCATTTTGAGAAGGCTTTGGAACCTGCAGAAAACTCAGCTGATGATTGTATAGATTATAATGTTAAGCTGTTTTTCTTTACAGGTGCCCTGCCTTATTAGTAGTTGGAGACAGCTCTCCTGCAGTTGAGGCTGTGGTAAGTCACCTAATCATTACTTAGACATTTCCTCGACTCTATCATGATGTAATTTCATCTAGACTTTTTCAAATTTTCCTTTACTGGAGGAAATTAAATTTTCTAATTTTGGAATTTGCTTTATTTGAAGTGTGCAAATAATTTTCATCTGCATTTTAATAATATAATTGTTTAATATAGGCTGTCTTCTGTATTTTAAGATATAAGATACAAACAAAGGTTCCTAAGTGGGGGAATTGCAACAGTTACATATTAATATAAGTATCTAAAGAAGTTTGAATCTCCCTTTCAGAATGGTAATAATAGAATATTTCTATCTTCAGAACCACATAGCACTTTGTGATTTCAATGGAGACGATCTAAATTGCATGCTTTCCTGTACTTCTCTGAGTTGGTTTAGTCTACATGTTGTATATATAGACAAAGCAAATGCCAAAAGCATCTCTTAAGAAGTTGGCCATATGAATTGGATTTGTCACTTGCTAAAGGTTTAAGGATTCTTATTCTCATCCACATTAGACTCTTCATGTTGCAGAGTACCTGGGATTTTTCTTTTTCTTGATAACGGGCTTGCTGAAATAATGGTGATGGGATCAGGTTTGTTCTAGCAGTCAGATGCTGAAATGAAACACTTATTACAGGAAAGACAGGAATATTGTCTTTAAAATTAGTGACTATAAGTATAGTATTTTAGTTTTAAGTTTTGCTTCTAATATATAGATACTGTTGCCGTTGAGGCATTGGCTGCTTAGGGAGGGCTTTGAATTATAGTTATAGCTATAACTACTTATATATGCATTATTTTGTGTTTCGTAGGTTGAATGCAATTCACGCCTAGATCCAATAAATACAACACTCCTGAAGGTAACCAAAAATTAAAGACTTTTCTGATGACAAGTGATCCCCTACTGTGGGCTTTATATGAAGCCTATAGAAGGGGATTGGTTTCTTACAACTATTCATTCAGCAGCTGTTTAAAATTACATTAGAAGTTATGATGGCGCTGAACAAAATGACTTATCACCCAGGCCCAAAGTTATAGCCACTGCAATGCCCCCATGGTCATGTGATAAAAATTAGGGTGCTTGGCAGTCTCCTCATACTTACAACCACAGGGGTGCTACAGTTCTCCCACCCATCTATTCCCCCCCCCCCCCCACACACACATCTGTGCCCTTTTGGTCTCCTACCACCCTGCACTGTAGTGCGCCTGGTTATCCCCATCTCCTTCTTGTCCCCGCTGCTGATAAAGCATCCCTGATCTAGCTGTGAGCCATATGAGCTGGCTTTGCATGATGAAAAAGGGGGGGAAGGCATCTCTCCTAGAGCTAGAAGATGCCAAAATACCACTTTTTTGCCATACTCCTGGACTATTTGGGGATGGTTTTGCATTGTGCAAAAGGAACAAAGGGCCAGAAGCAAGAAAACATCACCAAAGGTGAGCCTGGATGGCATGGCGGCAGGGGTCTCAATCTGCAGTTTAGCAAGGGCAATTGGGCCTGGACTGGGGTGCCTGCAGCTTCCTGGAACAGGACGGATTTGGAGCCACTTGCTGCCCGGCAGCTGAAAGGGCGGAGATAGTGGAAGAGATAGGTGGGTGGGGGGCATTGGAAACCTTACTGAAGCTTGCAGCTGGGTGGGACCAAACCCAGAATAGCTTGGATTGGGATGGGTTCTCAGCTAACAACTGGTAGAAGTCAATAACAATGGCAATAGGGATTGCCAGGCTGGTTTCTGGCAGTTGCTAAGCGATATAGTCACGTGATATCTCACTTTACAACTGTATCCCTTAGTGACCAAAATTTCAGTCCCAATTGTTGTAAGGCAAGAATTTCTGTAGTGATATCTAGGGATTTATATATGTTTACAGCCCTCCAGTATTAATTTTATAAATTTTCAGCCAACATGGTTCACAAATCACTTCCACCTTAAAAGAACAAGTCCTGGCATGTTATATATTCCATCCTAGTAAGTATGTATAAGAGTGGGTATGAGTGCCTTTATGACAGGTTTCATAGATCTATTTTGTCTTCCTTTTTTGCCAGTGTTATGTTTTATTGTTTCCCATTTTCAGTAAACCAGAGAAGTTCAATTTTAAAATGTTATGTGCTTGGAAATAGAAGTTTTTGTCTCTCTCTCTATAGTACTGTGATGGAACCACTTAATGGATTTATAACTCAATTATTATTATTTTTATTTGACCATCCATTTTTCTCTTTCAGATGGCAGATTGTGGGGGATTGCCCCAAGTTGTCCAGGTAAGCTCTTATTCTAGGAATTGTCATACTTAATGCATCTAAAAAATATCCATCTTATCATTTATTATGATTTTGAATTGCAGTTTTTTTAAAATACCAAAAGTATTTGTAATATCTAACAAATTAATTATGAAATACCAAAATGAACAACAAAAGGAAAAAATAGAAAATTAGACTGGAAAATATCCTGAAAATCAACAAATATATATAAATCACCCAAATATATATCATATCCATTCAGTGATATATTAACATGCCTCAAATTGTATATAGCAATACTCGCTTATGCTTTTTGATTATTATTTTTATTTTCCAGCCTGGGAAGCTAACTGAAGCTTTCAAATACTTCGTTCAAGGAATGGGTTACAGTAAGTGATAATATATTGTCTTTGTATTAATTTGAATTTAGAGCCTACTAAGTGACTGAGATTATTTATTTCTCAATCATAGATCCTATTCTGCACTTTGGCCAATTCATACACGTTATTGTATTGTAAGATAGTTGTAAGCTAGTTTTATCTACCACAGTACTTGTAAAGGATATTTCTAAAGGAGCATTAATCATCAGTCCTTGAATGACAGTTCTACCTTTTAGTGATTTGTTCTCTATTGAATAGATTTGGATCTTTCTAGTTTCGTAAAGGCTGTTTTGGAGAGACAAATATCTAACCTGTGCTTAAAAGATTACTATTATAGTTTTTCTTACCAATAACTTTAGTGGCAGAGGTAATACGTAGGCTATTCTTAAAATGTTTATCTGCACAGTAATATATGTGAGCATTTATTCCAATGTGGAAATTAATATCGGGTTCAGTGAAAGTCAAACAATTGAAACTGTATTATAAACTGCCCAAAATAATCTTTATTGTTTTACTAAGCAACTCTTAAAGTTATAAAATTCAAAATATGGAAAGCTTACGGTCAGGCAATGCTTACATCGTCTCAAGTTTGTTATAACTTCCTTAACTTTATTTCCCATTCCTTCTCTTATCTCTGCTTCCAGTCCCTTACATGCAGCTCAGTCACCTGAACACTGAGCCAGGTATCTACGAGTATATGTCTGGTTTGGCTGAGTTCCATTTTTCGTATGCATTATGCCGCTTATAGCATGGCCTGGTGATCTTTCGCACTCTAGGCCACCTCATTGTACACTTTTTGTGCTACAATCCTTTTTAGTGGTTTAATTTGCCTTGGTTTGACTATTGCATGGTTTGCAGCTAGCTGGTGGTGCAGGAATCAAATATATGAATTCCAGCTTTCTGAAAAAGCTTCATGGGCGTATGTATAGAGGGAAGAGGGTATGACTACCTTGCACAGAATGTTTTTGCTGACTGACTGTATCAGAGTGTTCCCTGATCATAGGCTTTCACTTCTGAAAGTGGAATGATAAGTAGGAGAAACACTATTCCTAACTCTTCTTCAGCAAAATGGAGAGGTAGTTGGAGGCTATGTCTAAGAAAGCAGGTACAAGTAGAAGTAAAAGTGAACATTAAGCTCAACTGGGAGGAGGAATGAAAAGGAAGTTTATTTGCAAGCAAGATCTGAAGATGAGAAAGGGTTGTAGCTGTTTTCTACGTACAAATGTTCCTGCATTTTACCACAGCAAGTACAGACTAATGAACTGTGAACAGAGTGATGCCTGATTTGTTTTTCAGCAGCAGCTCTCTTTTTCTTTGTGCCTCCTCTATGATAAGACGTTTGAGGCAATTAAAAAAAAACATTTATTATTTCTGGCATTCACTTTCCTGTCTCCTTACAGTGCCATCTGCAAGCATGACCAGGTTGATCCGTTCCAGGACCCAATCATCTTCAAGCGTCGGTTCAGGAGAAAGCACTCAAGCACGGTTTCAAGCCAACAACCTAAGGGAGGTGAACATGGGAATACCTGAAACTACTGAAATCCATGGCAATCCTCAGACTATGGAAGTATCCTGTTAAGCAAGCATGTGAATCCAGACCATTCCTTTTCTCTCTTTTCTGCACCCATCCAACAAGTGGCATTAATAGTTTTTCCCCTCTCATTATGCCTGCTAACTTTTCATCTGTCTCTTTGATGTTTTATTTAGTTATATTTGTACAGAAACTTCAGCCGCCTACAGATCTACCAAACAATAGCTGCTGGAGGTACAGGAGCTCTGATATATTTTTTGCAGGCTCAAGATCAAAACCTGGACCTCTCCTTTGCCTTTCTCCCTTCCCCCCAAGGAAATCGCTCATTTTCTTTTAATTTCTTCCACCTCTCCATCACACCTTCATGTTTATCTGCTTGAAATACTTGGTGCTCTTTAAAAGATGTGGTGTGGTGATGGTGGTTTTGATTTCTTAAAAATGGCAGTTTGGTTCAGCCAATTAATTCTATGTGCAGAACCTTGCTCTGTAACATGCAAGGGAAAGAAATACTTTCATGGGTGATGCAAGGGCTTGCTAATTAATGCTGTATAAATCCAAATTTAGCTTGTTCTCAGTTAAATATGAAGAAATAATGTGTCTGTCATAAGTGTGGTAAATGCGCTTCCACAGTGGGCTTGCCACTGACATTGTATACATCTGTATGCATCCATTAACTACTAACTTTCATTGGTGCTAGGCAAGATGAAGATGTCTTCATTTCTCCTGGCCTGTGCTATCCGATCATCTGGGGGAAATGTCTCTCTCCAGTCTTCTGGAAATTCAGATGATAATTTTTGTGGGTTTTTTTTTTCCCACTTAGAATTGCTTTCTAGTATGCTTCTGCTGAAAGACTTTAAGGCTTTTGACTGTGATCCTAACAGTGTCTTTGGAGTTCCGATTAGAGAGGACATCTTTGATTCAGAACTCCAAGAGAGGATCTATTTCTGTTCCAACACTTGAGATCATAACCTGATATATTAGTTATAAGAGAGTTCTATCTTTCATAACTGAGCAGGAGAAAGGAAGCTCTTTCCTGTTGGTTTATTCAGAAGCATTTCTCACTAGGACCATTAGGTTATAAGAAGAATGAGGTATTTAGCCAGCTTAATTTCCAACAAAGAGGGCATATTATTCAACTGTGTGTAAAGGATTTACACACTATAAAATAGGCAAAGTTACAATATACATGATTTAGAAATGGAACCAGGTGATATTTAGTGTAATTCCCAACACCCTATACAATAAGTTCCTAAAGCTGGAAAAAAAAATTCTGAAGTTGAAAAAGGATACTAAGCCAAATATCTTAATTTTCACAAGTGATCAGTAACTTTGACAATAAATTATGCACCTTTAATTTTTAAAGGGAATTAAATGTACTAGTTCAGAGATATATTTATAGTTATTGAATTAAGACAAATTATATTGAATTGAACAATTTAATTCTAAATTCTGGTTTTGAATAGTTGAGTGAGTAAGAAGACAATGCTATAAAGTAAGTGTTTGTGGGGACTGAAGACTAATCTTGAATGAATATATATAAAATGGAAAATTATTCATTCTGTACTTGAAAGACTAGCTCAACATGTATTAATTATAATAATTCTGTATCTGTGAAAGACCATTTGGTTCTTTAGGTAAATTTCCCACCGCTATTTTCATTAAACAAATATTTTACTATGGACTATTACTGAAAATTTTTCTGTTAACTTACAAGGAAAATAATATGTATTTTCCTACAAACACACACACATATAAATATATATAATTTATATTCTGATGGAAATAGATTAAAATTAAATGCACTAAGAATCAGGCAGTTTTGGAAATAAAATCTGCTTCACTGGGATTTCAGAATATAATTCTAAAAAGACTAGAGAATAGAATTAACTCAGGATTTCTGAACCCATAGCTAGTTTTGTAGCCTTTCTCTCAAGCAGATGCATTACTAAAAATACAAAAGGGAAATATCTAAACTGAAATATTTGTTGTTCTTGAGTTGCATAAAACTATTGTTTCATTTAAATACTAGTTAAAGGAATGCTTTGATGTACTTTATATTGTAAAAGTGTGCTCTGCTTATGGCCTGTAAATTACATATGTATTTATATAGGGTATCTCTGTTTGCGTGTGCGCACGCACCCATGCGCACATACACTCATTCCATGCAATGCTATTAAATTTAATTCTTTGCTTCTGGTAGATATGGGAAATTTTTACCATGAGAATTAGAAAGTTCCTAAATCATATTATTTTCTTGAATTCACAATAATTTTGTGTTTTCTGATTTTAGCTGGGAGAGAAAAAATCTATGATCTGTTAGAGTTAGACAGTGAGATTGCTGCTATTGGGAAGAGAAATGTAGCTGCATTTTTCATGGAACTATGGCAGATTATTTACTTTTTACTGTTATGTATTGTTTATAAGGCCAAAATCTTCAGGAAATGCCAGATTCAATTCTGTTTCAGGTAGAAGGGGAGACTGGAAGATTTTGCCTGGGGGTGGGGAAGGGGGGATTCAAACCAGTTAAATAAAATATAATCAATTTTAATTGTTAAGGTGTCTGTGTGTCCTTTTTTCCTCCCTTTTGACTTGTCTTTTAAAGAGCACACCAATATATCATTGAATAATATTGATATACAATCAGTTGAATTCCAAAATGATTAAATTAGTTTCCTGAGGTTAAAAATAGCACAAAAATTTAGCAGCTTTCCTCCTTTTTCTGATGAGCCAATTGCCAATCAAATAGAAATGTTGGATAGGAAGCAAAAAGAGGGAAAGCAAGAGGGCTGCCTGGGAGCTCAGCCACCACAGGTCTTATGAAAAAAGAGGCTGAACAGAGCCAAATCCTGGAAGTCAAGTAAAGAAGCAAATTTTAAAAAATGTAATGAGGAAAGGCAAAAGGAAAGGAGGCAGCAAATTAAAAAACTGAGAGGACAGAGGCATTTATTCCTTCTCTTCAGAAAAATATGTTTCTCCCCTCAGATGGAACTCAGATTTAAAAGCTGAAAAGACTGAAGAAGGCTAGCCAAAAACAAACTAGAAAGGTATATTTTTCTTTCCTCTTAAGAAATAAACATTCTTTAAAAAAAAAGAAAGAACAATAGCACATTTTAAATAAAAAAAACAAATTTTAATAAAACTTTCAACAGAAATAATATATGCAATAACAGGATCTAAGAAATCAGACAATTTTCGGGTATCTTTTTTTACCATGTATGAATCAACTTCTAATTTTGTATTAATATCTAGTGTGCACATATTTTCCTGATCCCCCCAGCCTACTCTCGCATTACTTTTCATTGTGCAATATGCAAATTAAAAGCCAAGATTGTTCCAAACATGACTTGTGAGTTCTCCTTTGCATAAATTCTAGCTATGATTAATTATGCTGTCAGACAGCTCCTTAGTGGAATTTTCGTTTAATGGGGGGTGGGGGTAAGGTTAAAGTTCTGGTGTTGGAGGTCTGAGGCACTCTAACTGTTCATGGTTCAAAGTGCTTCATTTGGAATCCTATATGCTTTAAAAAGTGTGTAGCCTGTGTGTTCAAAGAATTTGGTTTGGTATGATTTGGTTAAAATTATGAAGCCATATTCTTTTTTGGAACAGCATTGCAGAGAAAACAACTTATCTGAAAATAATTGGGCAAGAGACTATTACTCTCACAAACTTATTTGGCTTTAAATGTTAGCAAAACGTACAAGATCTAAGAAAGCCAACCAAGCAAGAACAGAAATATGTTAATGTCACTCATCTCTGGCTCCACCTTTCCTTCCAATCATTGTTGCTCTGGTTTGTCAGAAGCTTGGTGATGTGGTTAGTGTTTGTGCACACAGAAATGTACAGGGTTAGGGTTCAGCTAGATGTAATGATAATTTAGGATACTGAGACTGATAAGACTTCATAAGTGACTAGCAAGGACTAAACACCAAAGCCTCTAATGGCATATTAACATTATTCTGCCAGTTTTAAGGTGGCATGATGGTGACAGATATTTAAACTTGAGTATGCTTCACTTGCAGTAAGTTCAAGTCCACTTTAAGAATAAATTAAGTCTAAGATAAGCGTGAATTGCCTTCAAGGGAACTTCCATTTTTCTCCTGTGTAAGAATTTGTTATTTATTAACTTGAACTAATCCCCACACTTTGGAATCTGAAGACACTTTAGAAATTATTGAGAGCAAACAGTGAATTTGCCAAAAAGTTGCCATGGTAAATGAGCTACAAACCATCCATTTACCACAGATTTTACCCCTGTAAAACTGATTATCCCTTCCACCTTTTATGTTCTGAGGGGAAGATTGGCAAAACAGCACCGACCAAGAAGTTCTTTTCATAACTGGGTGGCTATGTAATCCTAACAGCCTTCTTAGAAATAGATGGTTTTGGAGATTTACTTTGCAATGCTCACGTTATCATTTTAATTCCTTAAAATAATTTTAAAACAATCTCACTGTAGCACAGAGTGCACTTTCTACCATTGTGCACTGTTTTGAGAATGCTGCACACTAATAGCAATGTCTTAGGGATATAATTTATCACACAGTGGTTTTCTGTGGAGAAAAATGAAACAGCCATCAACCACCTTTCCATTACGTCAAAGGAAACTAAACTGTGAGTTCTTAGAATTTAACACTTCTTAATAACATGCACTCAAAGCTATAAAAAGCTATTCTAATGTGCCGTGTATCATGCTTGGGTTTACTTGGCATGAAGAAGGATCAAGATAACAATTGTTGTGAAATTAATTTGGCCCTGTATACTGCATGACAACGGTTGCCTGAAAGACTGCAGCAAAAGATCCAAACCAATAGAAAAATAGTTTGCAGGCAACTCAGTGACATTTGTATTCTGAGAAATTTCCACTGAAGAAAAAGGCTGGGGTTTCTCTGGAGCACCATATGAATTGTGTTTTGGTTAGAACTGGTGATTGTCATCGATTTCCAGAGCTGCTACATTGAAAGAATTCCCTGCATCACCTATTGGAAGACTTGGCTATGATATAATGACAGGTGAGTGCAACCATTTTGAGTTAAACAAAAATATGAGATATTGTACTCTTAACTACAGTACTTTTTAAATGGAGAAAGTTAAAAATAACTGCATTATCATACAAAAACTCACGGACTGGTATAGCTTCTTATTGTGTAGTAAAATGTAAAGATGATTGCTAGGAGTAGCGCAATGGAAGCCAGAGAAGTAGGATGAAGAAGAAGAGCATAAAATCTCATACTTTTATTCCAGAAAGAGCCATCAACTTTTAACAAACTCCAATAGAAAAAGATGCTTTCAGCACTGGAGATGTTTCTGAACTTATTCATAGGATTATGCTAGTAGCAGATAAATGAAAAAAAAATTTTTACTACCATAACATGAACATTTCAGTATCAGTTATTAAATTCATGCCTTCCACGTTACAGGGCAAGAAGCTTTTTTAAAAAGGCAAATTCTTAGGAAAAAAGGCTTTGAGATGGAAGCCATCTTAATTATGCCCTAAATTCAGGACAACTTTTTAATTACATTACTGATGTAAGACCGATAACTATTCCTGAACAATATTCATCCATCCACGCTGGAGAATTGGCCATCTTACTCTCTCTCCCCCTGCTGTCAGAGGTTACTGTTTCTTGTTTGTGGTATGGTTTAATACTTTCAACGCTAATAAAACATCTACCTTAGAAGAAACTCGAAAATGGCAGCTGATTAATTGTAATGGCATTTGGTTTCTCCTGCATTTTCCTAACAGTTTTCAAGAACAATAATGTGAATTTTGTATGTTTCTTTTCTGCCTTTTGTTGATAGGCATCTCTGAGTGGTATTCTGGAAGATTGCTGTTAGCAACAAATTGTGATGGGAAGCTTGCCCAGTAAGAGGAAACAGATTGCTAACCAGACAAGCCCACAACTGAACACAAGGCACAGCCAGAGCTATAGCATAAACCTGCCAGGTAGGGATCATGCTGTGCTACCATCTGAGTCTTAAAACAACAATCCATACAAATACCCACAGATTTTGTGCCTATACCAGACTACAGTCATAGTCTCCCAGTTTCTAGTCTACTGACTTAAGCAGTACACCAACATGTCTGTCTACAACAGCAAAGGAGAGATTTAATCTTTATCTCCTTAGTCGATGCTTCATCATATTGATTTTGCAGGACAGAGAAAAAAGAAACAGGGAAATATTTATAGGCTTCTGGACACCTAATTTTTATATGCAATGATTTATTTTCATACATAACAAGTCATGTGATTTATTACCTGAAAGATTACAGTCACACGATATGCATACAAATATACATACATATTGTTTGTGAAATTGTATGTCGTGTACTATGATCTGGTTCTGTGTGCACTTGGAAATGGAAGTCTTTAGCACTTCCATGGTTATCTAGCAGCTTTTATTAATTTTGGTTGAGAAATTCTAAATCCTTGATTGAACATGAAACTCATGAACATAGCAACTATAACGATTTAGTCTGCCCCACAATGTGGCAGTGAGGAACAATGTGGGACAGATTATCCCACTACCAGATGGATTTGCAGTTGGCCAATTTGGATTCTTTGATGGGTCTATATCCACATGGAAGAAGGTATCTCAGGTTTCTGTCCTGACCTAAGGACTCTTCAACATCTTTATAAAAGAGGAAATAGGAGGAATGTTCTTAAATTTGCAGATGACACAAAACTGGCGGGGGAGGAAATTGCTAACAATCCAGAAAACAAGTTCAAGAGTCAAATGGAGTACAACCAAATGTGAGAAATGGAAGATTGTACAGTTAGCTAGGAAAAACTAGATACGTGAGTACGAGACTTGCCTAGAGACTTGGTAGTAAGAAGAAGAAGAAGAACCTGGTAGATCACAGACTAAACATGAGCCACTAAGACTGCAGGTTTTCGCTTCATCACGGAGGTATAGTGTCAAGATCACAGGAAGTTTCTAATTAATCTTTGTACTTTACAAGAGAGACTGTTTGGTTTAGCAGGAAAAAAAAATGGCAGTGGTAGTGACTTTTAAAAACAAGAGGCAGTTCTAGTATCATTGTTAGAGAATTAAATGATAAAATAAGTAGCAAAAATATTAATTACTGTAGTTATAGCCATTAGGATGAGTACTCATAATCAGTTGTGGTAAAATAGATGCAAAAAACAGGTAACTAGTTTTAAAAGATTTTAACTAGCAGGTAAACAGCTGAAAATGAAAAGTTGAAGTAGACAAGATGAAGTGAAGACAACAAGGGAATTCCATCCGTAGCGCCTGACTATAGAGAGTGCTGTCTGGCATTCTCACTTGAGTGCTTCAGCCTGGTGGGGCGGGCACTAAGGGAAATATCTTAATCCGAGTATGTTTGTATAAAAAATATGGCTTTGTAGAATCCTGGATTAGAATTATGTAGTGCTGTAATGAAATGTTCTGTTGACCACAAATGAACAGGAAACTATTTGGTGTTGTAATAAAATGGTTCAATTTTGTTGGGAACTATCTTCTTTCAACATCAGTTTCTACATTCTAGTCTAGAGGAAGCTGTGAGATAATCTTAAAATGAGACATTATAGTATGTCAAGCACTTTGCAAGAATACTTCAAATATTGAGAGATTAAAATCACGGATTAATCTGGTTGGTGTTTATTTTTTCTTTTAATCTGCAGATGCCAGTTTCCCCATGATTGTTGCAGTCAGTGATTTTCCTTCTAGAGACACAGAACCAGTACTAAGGATGGGGGAACAGCTGTGTTTGTTATCTGAGTGAGTATTAACAGACAAGGGACAAAACACCTGAGGTATGCGTCAAGCAGAGCAGTTAATATTAATGCTAGTCATCAAGAGGGAGATCCCCACTGTGGGGAAATCCAATTTTGAAAACATCCATGGTCAAACCTTAGTTTTTAGTATTAGCTGTCCAAATTAGTTTATTAGCTGCTGATTCTCCATTTTTCCTTTTTACATGTTACAATATTGCATTTATGTTTAATGTTACTGTTATTTAAAATTTAAAATAGCATACACAAAATATGTAAATTAATAAAAAATAATGGAGCTGCTGGCCTAAATTATTTGAGGTCTCCTCTGAGTAGTTAGAAGGGCTAATTCAGCCTTTCTCAACTTGATCTTCATTTTCATTAATATGATAATTCCCAAAATTTCCAGTTGCCATGTAGCTGGTCAGCCTGGGGATTGTAAACCTAACACACCTAGAAGGTTAAATTACCCTCCCTCCTTTATGCTTAGTCTGGATTCTTTGGGTGCCAATCTAGTCTCAAGAAAGGGATAATTGTGGAACATTTTTCTGTTGACAAAGCTTGCTCCTTGATCAGAATTTTAGAAAGAAAATGGAACTTTTTCAAGAAGTACAGCAGAGTTTTCCTTGAGATCATGGCTTTAAGTTACATTTCTTCTCCCACAGAGACAGTGAATGGTGTCAAGTCAAGTCAGTAGCAACTGGCAAAGAATGCTGTGTACCTAGCAACAACATAGCTAAAATTTCACATAGGTAAGCATTGTGGTTTTTCTCTATCTGAAGTAACATCACAGAATATTGCGGGGGGGATGTTTCCTGTGTTCCAAGAGATCCTCAACCCTCAAGGAAAGTAGTTTCCCCCTTAATTTACACGTATTTTACATAGGTAACTGACCCCTGCAGTATTTTTGACTTCAGGTGGCTCTATGATGGCATTGATCGAGCCAAAGCTGAGCAGTTGTTGCTGTTGCCTGCAAACCAGGAAGGTTCTTTCATCATAAGAAAGAGACAAGCAAAGAAAGGTATGGATTCTAGACAATGTCCAAAGGAATTTCCCAGTTCTATTCGTGTGAGGAAATATAAGGTACATCAAGTGTGTGAGCTTTGCATGGTCTACCATGGATTTGAATTTAATAATTAAGGTTTCTTCTTCAACTAAGACAATGCAAGTTTTAAGGATACTAGCACAACTCTAAACATCAGAGAAAAAATCTCATTGCTTTCAAGAGTATTTAATGAAATACATACATTTAATTAATCTGTTAGCAGTAGGATTGGGTGGACTTGTTTTCTATCTAAATATGTTACAGATTGTTTTATTCTGATAAAACAGGTTGCTACTCTTTATCAATCAGATGTACAAATCACGAATCCTGGAATTGTATAAAACACTACCGCATTAACTGTTTGGAAAACAGCTGGCTTTATATCTCCCCCAGCCTTACCTTCCCAAGCTTGCATGAACTGGTGGACTATTATTCTGGTAATTATTTTTTAATTAATTATAAAGAAAATTATATATTCTTTTCAGTTTCTGGTTTTGGCTCTCTCTGTATATGTGCATGTTAGAAAAAAAGAGGCAGAATTGCTTTACAGCATGTTAGGCCGCTAGGCAAATTTTTAAAAAACCTTTGGAGGTAAGGTGGAAATGGCCAAAGATCTGTTACAAAGATTCCACATTCCTGGCTTTTTCTCAGTGAAAAATAACTTTTGTACACCATACTCTTGATTCTGAGAGTACAATTTTCTAGAATTCTAATTGCCATTTATTTTATTATAATTTAAAATATGGAGTCTGGATAAAAAATGGTGACCATTTGGGAAAATCGGTATATTTATACCAACTTTTTAGAAACCTGTCAAAGGAGGGAATTTGGAAGTTCATGGTTGTTTTTCAGCTCTTCATGTGATCTCTTTAATAATTTGACCTTTGCGTAATATATTATTCAGTTCTACCATTTGTTATTTGTGTCCAGCCTGAGGCTCAGAATTATGGGCCATTTCTTGGCTATATTGTTAGTTGGTTAACTTTATTGGCTGTTGTATGTATTTCTTTTTGGAATGTTTTTGATTGTTGTATGGTTTTAGAATTTTAAGCCACCCAGTCATTTGGCTGAGATAGCTATAGAAATTTAATAAACAAGATTTGTAAGAATGTGGTGAAAAGTCTAGGTCTGTTATGTGATCATGCTGTAACAATTATTTTTAAAGTTGGATATTTTCACCAAGAAAATAAAATGCATTTTTACCAAAAAGCTGAAAAAGCAACATGACTCTCGCAGCTGGATTTTTTTTACTGAAATACAGTAGGTTGAGAAAACCCTATATATGAAAATCTATGTTTATTCTCTTTAATAGAAAGTAGTGATGGCTTATGTTGCCGTTTGAAGACACCATGCTTCATCCAAGGAGCTAGTTCCAGCTTGTTTCATAATCTTCCCAAACCTGTGGAAGTAAAGAAATCTTTCAATTGGCAACAGATTAAGAGGTTATTTTATATTTTATATTCAACCTATACTCGACCTTTATGAAGAACTCAATATGGCTGGCTGGACTGTTCAAATTTTGGTAACAAACTTATGTTTTGCAAAATCATATTTGCACAATTTAGTTTCCCCAGCCCATGGAAGAAAACATACCTTAAGTTTTATGAAAAACTGACAGGTGTTACATAGGCAAATAATCTGAAACTCGAAATTGCTAGTTCTGGACTACTTAGTGTCCAATGGTCTTCAAGTGTGCATTGCAATAATCCAGACAAGTACCAAGACATGAGTACAGGCAGCCCTTGGGAAATGAGATCATTTATCAAAGTTAAGACCATTCAGTGGCAGTGCCACTGATCATTCACCCTTATGATAGACCATGGGAATACGGTGGTGCCTCCCTTCCTGCCCCCAGCAGGACCTGGAGGGCTCAGGACTGCTTCCCATGCTTCCTGGAAGCAGCTGTCATTTTCAGATCCCAATTCCTTAATGACCTTGATTTACCTCAGCAAGGGCATCATTTTATGTTCTAGCACTCCTTCAGTTATTCCCAGGACTTGTGCAACTGGCAAATTGAAAAACTATGATTGACTCAATCTCTCAAGGAGTTTCTGCAGCTGAAGGTGACTTTGAGGTCTCCTGAGTTCTAATTCAACCATTTAACCAGTACTCTACACCAGGGCTCCCCAACCCCCCACCCCCCAGTAGATCAGCACTGGTCTGCAGCATGTCAGCAACTAGTCTGCGCAAACAAGTGAAACCCCATCCGCAGGATGCAGGCAGCACGTGAAACGATGCCCCTTCTGGTCCATGGAAAACCCCTCTCAGCAGAACCGGTCCCTGGTGGCCAAAAGGGTTGGGGGCCACCACTCTACATTGGTTCTATTATCATTTTAAAAACAATCCATGAGACTAGTTGTTTCTTTGAAACTCCAGAATCCTTAGCTGTAACAAACATAAACCACTGCAGCAAGGAAGTATTGCATTTGTTGCTACAAGGAAAAAATCCATGCCATTAGCAAAAGCAAACTTTCTGGTGTACTGAAGCCAAATATGCTGATAGTTGTTTGCCTGCATTACTAGAAAAAAATAAAATAAAATAATAAAAAAAACCCAGCCGTTTTTTTAACATGCTGCTCAGAAATGTTTTCTTCTGCCTAGCTCGGACTTGTTGTCAGAAGAACGGCTAACAGAAGACTCACCCATCAGTCTTGGCTTGCGCGAAGCAGTTACTACTTACCTGTTTATGACCGATGACCTGTCATTACAGGGCACACCAAACAGAAAAGGAAGGCAAACCAAAGATACATAAAGGAAATATTGGAAGTATTTCTGGAATATCAAGCTTGAACACAAGATTTGTTGAATTTGTGGTATTTTTATCAAGTTGATTCAAAGTGGTTATCCATAAATCAGTGTTATCATAGTTATACTTTTCATCTTTTTCTGTATGTGTGTCTGTGTAAGTTTATTTATGTATTTTCCCTACAGGTTTTGCACTTGGTAATTCATAATTGATTAGTAATGGAAAAACTGAAGTATTCACAATAAACCAAATAATTGTTTCACCAGGCTGTAATGGAGCATTGGAACATTTATGTCAACAGTTCAGGAAACAAAGGAAAGCAAGGAAAGATGTTTTCTCTGGTCTGAGAGGAAGAATGATAGGAATGGAGCCACCAAAAGTAGAATGGAAATGCAAGTGGTTCTATATATAGTGTCCACAAATGGCATATAAAAGGCACACAAAAACCTATGGCAGCTTCTGGCCGTACTCATAAGCTGCATGGTTTGCTTAATAAAGTCATAATACATTGGTTTCATGTTAAAACTAAACAAAGCACACAAGTTCACCACCTTGAATTATTTATAAAAATAATAAAGGAGGAATACAAATAAAAAAATTAAAAATAAATTATAGTGGAGTCATTGAGATGCCTGAGCTTGGTTGTTTGCTTGCAAATGTTTCATAATCTGATTAGAATTGACCTTAGTTGGGTAATGAAATGTTTACAAGCAAGCAACCAAGTTCAGAGAGCGCCAAGAAATCTGTATTTCAATCCTGAGTTACATATATTCTCATATTGTAACTACATTATAGCCTGAACAATCAGGAAACCAATCCAAAGCCCACAAAAATAGAGTAGTTATTTTTAGCATTCAACTTGTTTGGCTCTCAGTTTCATACAAAGCAGACTTCGGGAATATGGAAGCGCTGATCTCTCAGATGTTGTTAAATGATAATTCAGTGTCCCTAAGCACTGGCTATGCTAATTAGAATTTCTACCAGTTACAATATGTAACAAGTCGAAAGTTACATATGTTTAAGCCAGGCTCTAGTTTTAGGATTATCTTCAATGTTAAAGGGATAGAGCTGGAAATATAAGTTATTCAAGCCTTAACAAAAAGCTCTTACTTGTTTACAGATAAACAATAGAGAAGTATTTTTTTCAGCGATATCTTGTTATCTAGAAAACTCCCCATGTTATTGTGAGACAACTGGATGTCTTTTAACAATCACAAACTTTATTCCAATTTATTACAGCAAAATAATTTTATCTGCTGTACAGCTGCTATACTAATAATCTATAAGAGCCAAATAATTGGAGACCAATAATTCCCTGAAATTAGTCTTGGCATAAAGTCTCTGTCAGGCTGCAAAAAAAGTAGACTTTTTGAATGAGATAAGATGGTCAGAAAAATGTTACTTCTATGACAAACACTAGATAACTGAAACCTACATAATTCTGCAGCATATAAACATTACGGATTTTTATTCATAATTACCAATTTGTACACTAAACAGGTCTTCAACACACAAATGTGCTTTAATTTAAACTTTGGTGGTGTCAAAAACAACTCCAATATCAAGGTAGGAAAAATCCAACATTCAGAACATCCAATGCAAAAATACCCTATTCTGTCCACCTCAAAGTAATTTCTTGTCCCAGATGTTATCTAACAAAAAGGAAGTAGTGATGGAAATATGATCTGCAGGCAAATGATATTCTTAAACATATAAAATAGTTACAATACACCAACGTTTGAAAAGCTACTATATAACGTAGCTTTAATGTAAGCAGCATTTCTTCACTTTGATCTCACAAATAATGCTAGTAAGGAAACTAAAAATAAAAAGTACAAAAAGGGGGTTCAAAAACATTGTTTAACATAATGTCCCATTGCCTTTGGGAACAGTACCTCATGCATAGACCTCGAGACTCTTTGTTATACACAAATATAAAATTAACTGATTCCCAAAACCACACTTTACAAGTATCTACAATGAAAACATTTATAATATTGAACAGGATTATGTTTCAAACTATAACCGGAATGGCAATTATTAACAGTAGGGAAGAAAACAATACCATGACCATCACTGGCCATGGCTAGATCGGAATCTGTAATACACCCTTCCTTGTGTAGACACTTTTATACCCTGCATTCAGGATATGTCATCAGTACATGGGAGGCACAGCACGGCCAGCTTTAGAAATTCAAGAATGCACAGAAGCTCAACATAAATGGGTGTCCCAGTACCATGAGAATCATGCTACAATGTCATGATAAATATGGAAAATGATAATTTACTAGGAAAAGAAGTGCAACCAAATTGGGACCTTCTACTACATCTATTTAAAATAGTAGATTAGTTTCAGATCATATATGCAATCCTCTTGTAACAGTTTACTTATAAAATTAGACATTCATACTTGCTAGGCTTGAAAATAATATCTTCTATTGATTAAATACTGTAGTTATGCATAAACTATTAGGATAAAGTATGAGTCTTTCTGACACATTAAGTCACTTAAATAAACTAGGCAGAATGTTATCTACAGCCTTGGATCACTAATTATTTTTTGGCTCTTAAAACTTTTTTTCTCCAGTGGCACAATTTTGTCAGTGTATGTATGCAAAGAACATTAATGGTTATTTCAACTTGATACAAGGAATGAAAAAAATCCTTTGCCAACCTGCTCCTACATTTTGAAGACAAGAATAAATCCCTTTCCATAATGTTAAAAATGCCTAGCAAAGGCCAACTGAACAAAAGATAAGGGCAATCTCTTTTCTTTTATGAAGAGTAACCCTTGCCCCTAAATAATTCCCTGAAGTCAATTCTGCATCACATGCAACAAGCATGCTATTCCATTAAAATAGAGAGTGCTCATCATATGACAGGCTCCAGCCATCCAGCAGAAATTTAGTATCATGTTGAACAGCAAAGTGCTATTTGTTGTACTTTGCCCAAGTCTGTGAGAAGTTGTTTTATACAATGCTTCAGTTGAGGAAGTCTTGCTAATGGTTCTGGTGGCTCCAGCTCTCCAGTATAATCCAACCAACTCTCTAAAACTGTAAGAGAAGAGAAGGTATACAATAATCACAAAGGTCTAAGTTACTGATGGCTACATTTAAGTAGATTTGTATTAGCTATAAAGAGTTTCAGTAGGATAGTGTAATCTTTCCTTTAAAGGCATCATTTTTTTCAGATACTTTTAAATAAAATATATTAACTATCAAGCAATTTAAAATAGCACCCCAAATATAGACATAGAGTAGTGAATTGTTATTATGTGTGCCTAGATCAAAACTTTTGTTTGGAATGTTTTAATCTGAGCACAGAACAAATGAGGAGGGATTGGTCTATGCACAGTACTGGGATGGAAGAGGGAGCAAAGATATATGGTGGCTGAGTGGAGGGTGTTGACAGAACAAGGAAAGTTCTGTCAACATAAGTACACGTATATAAAATACCCATAAAAAACTACTATAAAATCCAAGTCAGGTCACTGCCACATATCTTTGTGGTGTATCTGAGACACTGTAGTCTTTTAAGATAGCAATCTTGAAATCAGGGAACTGATGCTGTCTGACTTAAGAATGAAGCTATTTGGGTGGCTTTGGGCCAATTACTTTATTTCAGACTTAGAAAAAGGCAAACCACATCTGAAAATATAAGCTTCAGTTACAGATAGTCTTCAATCACCACAATTGAACTCAAATTTTCTGTTGCTAAATGAGGCAGTTGTTAATTTTGCCCCATTTTACAGCTTTTCATGCCAGTTAGGTAAATCAGTCCAATTGTTAAGTGAATCTGACTTCCCCACTGACTTTTCTAGTCAGAAGGTCGCAAAGGGTGATGATGCCATTATCCCAGGACGCTGCAACCATCATAAACATGAGTCAGTTGCCAAAGTCTGAATTTTGATCACATGACCATGGGGATGCTGCAACACTGGTACCTGTGAAAAATGGTCATGTCACTTTTTTCAGTGCTGTTGTAATTTTGAACAGTCACTAAGTGAAAGGTTGTAAGTTGAGAACTACCTGTAATGATTTCAGCAGTTCTGCAATCTGTGAATAGTTCCTATTAAACTTAAGGCTTACATTTTCTTTGAAGCGCTACACATTTGATTTATATCATCATAATAAAGTGAACAACTGTATTTCAGAGAAGTTTAGTTGCTATTAAACATAAGCAACTTTCTTTCTTCAGTACCTATCAACAATTTTACTGTATTTGGCAGCTTAGGCAATTTGCCTTTTCTGCTGTTACCTCCACTTGATGGAACACCTCCCTCCCACATACAGAGGCTGGCCTAATCTGTTTTAGTTTTCAGGCAGTCCTGTTTATCAGCAAGCCTCAGGACTGGCAAAACAGTGGGGCGGTTCCTGGCTAATTAACAACTCCTTTTTGCTTTATCTCCTTTTTATATCAGCAATATTAATTCACTTGATTGTTAGAAGGCTGGCTATATAAATATGATGAATGAGTATGCCTCTTTTAGTTACAAAAGCTAGAAAGCTATTTCGGTATGGAAAACTGCAGTTAAATTTAAGGGAATATTATACATGATAGAAGTCTACCTTGCATCAGGCCTGCGTGCTAATAGTTTCATCCAACCTATTGTAATATTTGAAAGACATCCTGTGATATGTAATGAGTAACTTTAAAATTTCAGTTTTGAAGACACAAAAAACTAATAATGAACTCTGGATAGATATACACAAGTGAAAAACCTAGATTAAACAGATTTAATGTAAGAAATAGAACACAAGAAAAAACAATTGAACAGACCTTAACTAAACTGTTAAAATTTGTAGCAGAAAAAAACCATTACCATCTAGTTCCTTTTCAATTGAATCCATTCTGTGGGTAACTTCATCTTGCAAGGACTCAATGTGGGTTAAAAGATTAAGCTGCCACTGCAGCTGGGAATTCATAATTCCATCCTTGTCTTTTTCAAGCAATTTCACTTCAGCATCTTCTTCTGATGTGATTTTTTCTCTTACCTAAAAAAATGTGTAAGTTAACATTCCCTATAAACTGAGAACAATTTTAAAGAAAAACAGTTCAAGAAATTATATATAGGGAGCTGTTGTGGCACAGTGGTTAGAATGCAGGCTAACTCTGCCCACATCTAGGGATTTGATCCTGGCTGGCTCAGGGTTGACTCATCCTTCCAAGATTGGCAAAATGAGGACCCAGATTGTTGGGCCAATATGCTGACTCTGTAAAACTGCGCAGAGAGGGCTTTAAAGCCCTGTGCAGCAGTATATAAGTTTAAGTGGTATTGCTATATATGTTTAATTCCTAATATTTTGGTTCAAAAGATTGAATGATAATGGCTGTCTGAATGAAGTACAAATTAATATTGTAAGTTATAAACATGTATAGTACATACACATGCAATCTTGTATTTAGTGTAGACACAAACACCACAGACATCCTCTGATAATCAGCAAGTATGTTGCAAAGAATAGCTAGTTACCTACTGTGTATTTTATTGTTTGTATTTGTGATTGAAGTTGTTTTTGTTTGTTGCCTGGAATCACGCATTGAGATGTGTGGGTTATACAGTACAAATAGAATAAATGAATGATGGAATAAATTAACATATGTATGTTATGCTAATTCTTTAGCTTCCCTAACAATGAATTTATAAAGTTCAGTTCCTGTAAAACTGATAGAAAGGATTTTTTCTTGCATCATTTTATTTGACTTGCTAGGGCTGATTAGCAATATATTTTTCATTTTCACTCCTCCCCCGGCTCTCTCCCTCCTCTCGCTCCACAATATTCCTTAGCTACATGAACCCAACTAATGTAATCATCACTACAATAGCATAGGAATTCCAACTTTCCATCTGTAATGTTAAAAACAATAAAGAGTTCAGTAAAACATACCTTAGAGTAGTTATGTTTTGATTCATTTTCCACCTTGCATATTTCTCTATCTAGTTCCCATCCTAATCTCTCCACTACGGCATCGTCTCCATTTTCTCTTATCCTATTAACATCATCATCAATGTCCGAATTTCTGGTTTCTACAACAAGTCTCTGTTCTATAGCAGGATAGTAAGCCCGAGGTTTTTGGTAACAATGCTCACTAGTGATATAAGATTCCTCTACAAAGGTATTAGTAGGAGGTTTCTCAACTGTTCCATTAAAAGTTCTATAACTTGTGGTCTCTTCTTTGCAACTGTTTTCTTCAATGTGAACGAGTCTAGCGGTATGAGATTTTTCTTCTATTCTGACATTCTTCCAAGGCTGACACCAAAGTTTCAAGTCAGGATGCTCCTTGCTTCTGTTAAGAAGATCAATACATGGAAATTAACACTGAAAATCTTTAATAGAACTCAGCTTATACCTTTTATCTTTTAAACTCATCTGAAAATAGCTGGAAACTAGCCAACGTGAATCTTCTATCAGATTTCAGAGAAGTCAGGATAGTGTTAGCGCTTGACATGTGCATTTTAGAGATCTCTTACTATTTATCAGCCCCATTATCTTAAACTGAATAAGCAAAATAAGTAAAAACATCATCTGACATAAATGGACCTATCTGAATTTAATGTTAACACTTAAAAACATAGATCATCAGTTGATATGATATGTTCACTAAAAGAAGATTCTTAAAAATCATACAGTAAGTATTTAGAACACTGTAAAATGGAAGACAAATCTTCATAATGGCTTCAAAGAATGTGTGATGTACAAGTTCAAGCATGTGTTCAAGTTATTTCCAAATTATGTGCCATATAATATTTCTCAAAGGCTCCTATAAATGGTAAGAAGAAAAGCTACCCCATGAATTATTATTTCAAACAATCTTTTAATGATTAGTGACTCCTACCTCAGTTATTTCTCATAAATATAATCATATACAAATGCTGCAAATCAAGTTTCGTTTGGCAGTGGTAAAGAGGAGCAGTAGATGGGGGGAGTAGACATATTAAAATGCAGGGGACCTTACTAGCTTGCTATTTCTTATCAGTATTATTTGGTATCTTATAAAAACAAATTATTAACCATTTAAAGTTTGATTTATCAGAATCAATTGCTATGATTCCACTCACAGCCTGAAACTAGCTTCTTCCAACTAGTTTGGGTTTGGGT